AATAAGTCAATCAGAGAAAGACATGTATCATATGACCTCACTGATATGAGGAATTCTTAATCTCAGGAAACAAACTGAGGGTTGCTGGAGTGGTGGGGGGTGGGAGGGAATGGGCGCCTGGGCGATAGACATCGGGGAGGGTATGTGCTATGGTGAGTGTTGTGAATTGTGCAAGATTGTTGAATCACAGATCTGTACATCTGAAAGAAATAATATATTATATGTTAAAAAAAAAGAAGAAGAAAAGAAGATAGCAGGAGGGGAAGAATGAAGGGGGGAAATTGGAGGGGGAGATGAACCATGAGAGACAATGGACTCTGAAAAACAAACTGAGGGTTCTGGAGGGGAGGGGTTGGGAGGATGGGTTAGTCTGGTGATAGGTATTAAAGAGGGCACGTTCTGTACGGAGCGCTGGGTGTTATATGCAAATAATGAATCATGGAACACTACATCAAAAACTAATGATGTAATGTATGGTGATTAACATAACATAAAAAAAAATAAGAGGATGCTTGGAGAATAAACCCCTCTACATACAGGTTAGGGAAGTGAGATCCAAAGCAATGAAAAAAACTTCTTAAGGATTCTTTACAACAAATTTGTAACCTATAAAATAAAAACTAAAAGATAGGACTTCATCATCAAATGTAAGGAACTTGAATCAGTTAAAGGAAAAAAGAATTCAGGATCAGCTGACAGGAGGAAAATCAATACATCTCTGGCAAAACCTCATTTAAGTTATTAATTGAGCATATACCAGAGATATTTCAAGAGGTTGGTGGTATATAAAGGCACATATTAAGAAGTATAGGTCATGAACCACAGTAAAAATTTCAAATAAAAAATTACTTAAACACTTGTATTTATATACAGTACTTAAACAGTGCATACTTGGTAACATGACCAATTTGGAGATGTATCCCCTAGATGAAGAACTCTTACTAAGAAATAGTTATATGAGGTATTACATTCAGTATTCACAGAATCAGTTTCACTTACCATTAGAAAGGTAGTACAAATAATACTCAAAGAAATCATTAATGGACATGATATCCCTGAAGTATCACAAAAGAGAATACTAAATTAGTATTCCTCTTAGTAGGAATTAGTCCACTGGAAATAAAGCAATAATAAACAAAAAGAACTGGCAAATTGATCTTTTTCTAACCATAAGCTATCACCATGGTTAAGTATATGTGCTAAAAATTATATCAAATTTTTTTCCAATTAACTAGAGTGTCCAGCAAGATTAGAATATAGTTGACTGTTGATGAGTGGTAGTAATGAGATTAATCTAATGATCCTTTGATGCCTAGAATATTATTATTCAGGATACAAAGTAATTACTTCCACAATTTGGAAGTATAAATATTTATATAAACATATCTATATTACTTCATGGAATTTTGACCTTATTGAACAGAATGCTTTTTTTTTTAAAAAAGAAAAGGGGAAAAAAATCTTCACACTAGAAAATTTCTTAGTTGAAAAGGACTAAAAGACATTCCTTCTCATATCATGTGATTTTAAAATGAAGGAACAGAGAATTCTTACCTCTTTGGGCTTGCTAAGTATGAGAAAAATTCAATTCTTTGTTAGTGGTATCTTCAAAGAACTAGGAGTCAGAGAGAATACTGCACTTTCACAAAGACAGTGCTATTTTTCTAGACATATCAGCCCAGAAACATTGTGTCTTGACGAAATGAAGTCATATTATGCATTGATATGTATCAATATATGTATACAATATAATTTAAATATTTCAGGTAGAATAGCCTAAACCATTTTAAGCACATGGGTGTAATGTAACAATAACAACTTTTGGTTAAACTAAATGCCACCTTCTCATCCCTGTCCCCCACAGCAGCACAATTTTTGGAAATACAAAAGCCACCCTATCCTCAGTGAAGATCTCTAGGGTAAAATATAGTCTTCAGGCTGGCCAGGGGAGTCCTCCTTTTTGCTACCACACATGTGTCTTCATCTTTCCTAGGCTCACTGTGACACTTCCTGAGTTAGCCATATGTGTATCAGCTGCATGAGCTGCTTTTGAAAACTGAAATTCTCTAACATCTCTCTCACATTGCCCTCTTAGACAAAATTAATCCTGCTAGATCTCATGGTGGACCTCGGAGATCGGTGTTCTGAGTAGTTGGTCAGGTTCACTCATCAGCTTACTGAGCTTCCCTCCATAATTATGACTCTACATTGCTTTCCCATTCCAATTCCTCTTCCAACAAAATTAAAGATTCTCTCAATAGGACACATTCTTTGGAAGAAGCTGATTGAGCTGGCTGAACATAGTCCTAAATTGCTGGAACAAGAACAGCTATTACTGAGCTTCCGTGTGGAATTTTATTTGAATAAATGATTGCATGGGTAAAAGAAGCTCTCTCTCTAAGACTTTATCATTTATCCCTTTGCAGAGCCATGAATAGTAGTTCATTGCCCTACTGAGAGGGCTATTAAACTGTGTCATCTCAAATTGTCATTTTATAGGAACTGGTTAAATGCTACAAAAAAGTTAGTAGGTGAGCCAAGATTGGAAGGCTTCACATTTGAAAGAGAGAAAACGTGCATTTTCTTTTAAGAAAGAATTAAAATTATTTTTGGAGAGATTTTGATGTGGAATAAAGCAAGTACGAAGATAACCATGATTCTCGTAGTAAAACTGGCAATAAAATCCCATATATATAGGAGGAGGAAACAGAGCAATTCAGAGAAGTAGCCTGGATGGCAACATAGCCATAATGACATTATAAGGGCAATTAGTCGGATCCCTTGTTTTATGAATATGTTTATCCATCTGAAATACAAAGAAAGTGGGCAATGAATAGACAGAATAGAAACTATTTTTATTTATATAAACAGTGGTACTGAGGATATAAAAGTGAATACTTCTATTAAACATTGTGTTTTCTTTTTACCCAGTCAATAAGATGCATCTCTGTTCCAGACTTCGACGCTCAGTTGTACTTGTTTTCCAGAGTTTATATGCAACACTGATTTCTCCATTTAATGCAGTATCCGTAATCATATTCATCATCATCACAAAATGTTTTACACATTCCTTTCACTCTTTCACATCTCTGAAATCTATACTTGGGCTTCAAGTTACTTCTGGCTGCAATCAAGAAAGACATGTAAAGTCATCAGTCTAATTTTTCACTTGGGAGTCTTACTTAGGGAAGGAGAAAATCTGTTGTAGTTATAAAATCATGTGTGTGGGAGATGGAGAGTCTGGTGTGTCAGTCAGTTTTATGACACGATTTAGCAGTTGGTACAGAAAATGACTGAGCTACAAACATTTTCTTTACACAAATGTGTTTGTACTTATCTTACAATTCACATCAGTACTGAACTTTAGCTGGCTCCTGAAGGCTCTTGCCTTCCTATCTTTTTTTTCTTACTTTATTAAGACCAGATTTACTCTCTCATGCTTTCTTTAAGATGACATCTGTAGTTTTTTAAAAACTTATAATTTTTATTTTCAGGTGTTTTCAATTTTTTAAACTTAGTCTGATTACCTCTTCACAGTATTATTTGCTCAATGCTTTCTTCTCCATTCCAGATCTTACTCCTAACTGAAATTTTCTTTTATTATATTAGAGCAAATGGATATGTCCCTTTCACCAGTCTACGGTAATAATGAATGAATAACATAACTTAGTACTTAATAAATGTATTTTTCTTAAACATTTTTTATGATACTTTTATTCTTGTAGCCAAAATATAAACCTTATATGATAGTAATGATTTCTTCTGATTCTCTGTTATCTCCTACCCAGTATGTCCTGATAATTACAGTACAGTAAGCATGAAAATACTTACAGAGTAAGTATTTTCAAAAGCAGCTCATGCAGCTGATACACATAGGGCTAGAGTAATTTATTGAGGAAACAAAATCACATAAGATATGCTCAGGAAACACAGTTTTGCTGTACATTAAGTATTTAAGAAAAAGAGGAGCCCCATGTTAGTCTTCTAGTGAGTCATCTAAGACAATGCAAAGAAGGATGGCCTGAGATTCCAAATTCATGGCTTTGGGTTCATATATTAAAACGGAAGCAAATATTTTGGTTACTTAGGATTTTATTTCTTTTAATGATTCAATTGTACTGCAACTAATGCCTTTAGAAAAGAGACTTGGAAGTCAGTCTAACTCCCCCCCACCCCAAATTTTATCATAGTATTTACTTATCTTGGATTCATCATTCCATCTATCTGCATGATAGAATATAACAAGCATAACCATCACAAATATATTTTGAATATTAAATTTTACACGTGTCAGGAAAAATAAAGCAAAGTAATTTCATTAAAATTTAGAGAATAAATTGAATTGAATTTAGATTAAAATTACATGTTAACTCATAGAACCTAATTGCCTGCACAGAACCTAAATGAAATTCAGAATGGTGTTTCATTTCCATGTGGCAGGTGTTTGAGTATCTAGTATTCTCTAAACATTTGGTTGAGAACTAGTCAGAAACTTCCAATGTCGAGAAGACTTCAAATGGACTAACTTTATTGTTGTTAATAAAGTGAGTAGAAAAGAAAAGGATGTTAAGCATAAAATGAAAGAGATTGTCAGGAGGGTTTTGCCGTGTAAATATATGTATGTCCTTTGGGAATGGGAAGGTAATTCACGATGATAGAATCCCTGCTCACCAGCAAATTTTGGTGAAAACTGATGAATTGTTGAACACTACATCAAACACTAATGATGTACTACATGCTGGCTAACTGAACAAAATAAAAATAAATAAGTATACTATAAATTAATATTAATTAAAGATACTTGCATTAGCATCAAAAAATAAAGAAATCTAAAGTTATTTCAGAGGTATATTTGATATAATGAAAAGTAGAGAAGTGTGATCCATGTTGCATTTTACTTTTTTTTTTTAAACTTTTGCTGGGATACATACTTTTTAAGCTAGTCAACATTCCTGAGACTCTAATATCTTGTCCACCCATAAAATCCATGTTGACGGTCCTGGAAGGCACCGAAACAACATCAGCATGTGTTGTCCAAGTCGACCGTGGTTCTAGGTTACTGGGATATTTGCGGGCTGGTGCACGCCATCCGCATGCTCCTGGAGTTCACCGATACATCCTATGAGGAGAAACAGTACATGTGCGGGGAAGCTCCCGACTATGATAGAAGCCAATGGCTGGATGTGAAATTCAAGCTCCACCTGGACTTTCCTAACCTGCCCTACCTCATGGATGGTAAGAACAAGATCACCCAGAGCAATGCTATCTTGCGCTACATCGCTCGCAAGCACAATGTGTGTGGTGACACTGAAGAAGAAAAGATTCGAGTGGACATCATGGAGAACCAAATAATGGATTTCCGCATGCAGCTGATACGACTGTGCTATAGCCCTGACCTTGACAAACTGAAGCCTCAGTACTTGGAACAGCTACCTGGACAACTGAAAGAGTTCTCCTTGTTCCTGGGGAAATTCTCATGGTTTGCAGGAGAAAAGCTCACCTTTGTGCATTTCCTCACCTATGATGTCTTAGATCAGAACCGTCTGTTTGAGCCCAAGTGCCTGGATGAATTTCCAAATCTGAAGGCTTTCATGTGCCGTTTTGAGGCTTTGGAGAATGTAGCTAACTACATGCAGTCTGACCGTTTCCTGAAGATGCCCATCAACAAGATGGCCCAGTGGGGCAACAAGAGAATATGCTGAGCAGGAGGTGGACTTGCACTGCTTGTTTTATTCCATCCTGTCCCTAGGAGGCGTGTACTCTCTCTTCTCTGCTCTTTTCAATAAATAGCGTTTAGGCTAAAAAAAAAAAAAAAAATCCATGTTGACTTTAAAGATATGTTAAATTCAGAAAAGAGAAAATATGGATGTATAGTGATCATTTATAACATTAAAATATACTAATGTTGGGCGCCTGTGTGGCTCAGTTGGTTAAGCGACTGCCTTCGGCTCAGGTCATGATCCTGGAGTCCCGGGATCGAGTCCCGCATCGGGCTCCCTGCTCAGCGTGGAGTCTGCTTCTCCCTCTGACCCTCTTCCCTCTCGTGCTCTCTGTCTCTCATTCTCTCTCTCTCTCAAATAAATAAATAAAATCTTTAAAAAAAATATACTAATGTTGGTTTTACTTATTATTTTAAAGAGTAAAAATGTTTTAAGTCACAAAAAAAATCTACAGAATTGTATGATCTGGAAATAAAAAGCTTGTATTACAAAATTGGTTCTATCACTCATAGTCATTTGCCAATAATATATCATTTTAGAGTCAGCTATGTCATGTGAAAATTGTAAAAGTTATAATGGGATAAAGTATGTAAATAGTGTGAAAACTGGTTATGTTATAAACTGTACAATGTTATACAAATATCATCCATGAGTGCATATTTATGTGAGGTGATTGAAACTAGTTAATATAAACCACAAAAAAATAAAAATGAATGACTGTTTGGAGGAAGGATGCATAGCATCTCTTTTATCTATAAATACCTCTGCACATTTTACACATCACTGGAGAAATGGTCTATGATTACTGATTTTCATGAAAAGAGAGATATGTAAACACTAACTGGAAGACCTACAAGAGATATATATTTTAGACAGGTTTCTGAGAATCTGGACAAGAGTGAAGTTATACAAATATGGTGTAGGTCTATTGTAGACAGCAACCTGTAACAAGTCCTGCATACACATGAATAGGGACAACTCTGTTAGGAAACCAGTGGTTAAAAGCTCAGTGGTCTCCATGCAGTTGGTTAAATGTTAGTTTTCCCAAGCTCGATGGGGGAAGGGCAGTCCTGTTCCCAGGAAAAATGTCTGGCATATATTTCCCCATCTCCTAGCAAATAACTTCTCTGAAAATGACACTTCTGTTAACTTGTGATGCAAATAGAAAGGCTGACTTGAAAGGAGGAGGAGGTATTTTGGATGATGTCCACTCTTACTGGGTCCAAGTTGAAATCAAAGTAGGAGCAAGGCCATGGGTCAGCTGGAAGTTTCTATAGTATGTTTGAAAGGGTGTGATCTTTCAGAATCAGATAGTACGACGTTTCAATTGTGTATGCTGTGTTTATTAGGTTTGATACATTGGACAAATGATTTAGTCCACTGGATTTCAGTTTCTTCATGAAATTGAGCTTCTTGTAAAATTTTAAAATTATAATGGGATAAAATATGTAAACTTCTATAATGTTAAAAAAATGAATAAGCCTTCAAAATCAGGTTACTCTCATAGGCTTTGTTTTGACTTTCTATCTGGATTTATACTTAAAACTGACCTCAAATGAAGCAGTGTTATTAGCATGTATGGCTTGTTATAGTGAGAACACAAACCTCTAGTCTTAAAGCCACTTTAGGTCAGGTCCACTGTTTGCCTTGTTCACTGATTTATTTCAGCATGTAGTAAGATGCCTGAAACATACATACTCAATAAATGTGTAAATGCCTGACAAAATGATTGAGTGAAAGAGTTTGGTATCAGAGATCGATATTTAGTTGGTGTTTGGTGTCATTAATATGAGTTGTTTATAGCTTTGTGTCAGCTTTAAAAGAAAACCTTTATTAAATCACTGATTTTTCTTCACTTTCACTATTATCTGAAGAGAATACCTTCTCTTGTGATTCATACACACACATTTAAGTGAGCAACTATTTGTACTTGGCCCTGTACTGGATGTAGATGCAAAAATGAATAAAATAATTAAGCTCATCACCCCCAAGAGTAAACCAATGTTTTTTGGGAAATGGGGGCATAGAAATGGTACAATTCATTTGTAAAGACAATACTGAGAGATGAATAAAATGTTCTCAAAGCATAAAATAAAGAGCCATACACTGGAAAACTCTATTTTACTATTACTACTACCACAACCATTATGAAAAGCTATGCTCTAGGGATGCCTGGGTGGCTCAGTCAGTTAAGCATCTGCCTTTGGCTCAGGTCATGATCTCAGGGTCCTGGGATTGAGTCCCGCATCAGGCTCCCTGCTCAGCAGAGAGCTTGCTTCTCCCTCCCCCCTGCTTATGTGCACACACACTCTCTCTCTTTTCCTCAAATAAATAAATATTTTTTTTAAAAAAAAGGGCTATGCTTTATTAAGTGTCCATTAGGTTTCAGGTTCCTTACTAAACAAGTAGTATTTGTTATCTGATTTAATGCTCTAATAACCTTATCAGATAGGTATAACCATTCTCATTTCACTCATAAGAACAACTGAAGTAAAGAACTCTGCATAAGGTTTCAGAGGGAGTAGAAGGGGTTGGGCAGGCTTCAAAGTTAGTTATGTTTGACTCCAAAGAATTGTACGTTCAACCATTTCACTGAAGAGGTGACTTTTAGTTGAACCTTGAAAAGCCAATAGCATATTTTCTAGGAATTGAGGGGAAGCACTTTTAAGCCGTGTGTGTGTGTGTGTGTGTGTGTGTGTGTGTGTGTTTGGAGTGAAGTGATATGGATATGGACACAGAGTTCAGAAAACACAGGGAAGGTAAATTGGGCTCAGGTGTCAAAAGACCTCTATTAGCTGAGGAGCTGAATATTCTCATACATGGAGTGTGGTGAAACTATGGAAATGTTAGGCACCATCTTCCCTTTAAGGAAGGGATTAGAGAAAATTTTGCAGGCTGTGTAAATGTTGTTAGGACATTCTAAGTAAGAAATAATGAGAAAGATAATCAAGTTAATGGATTTCAAATAAAGAGGAGAAAGTGAGCTTGGGAGTTATTTGTGAATTAGAAGCAGCCCAATTTGGTAATTTTGGATCTGGGGGAAGAGTACCAGGAAGTAGAGCAGTGATGAGTGTTTTAGCCCTTGATGCTGTGCCCTGATGTTAACAATTAGTGAAACAGAGAATAAAAAGGGGGTGGGGGCAGACTTTAGCCTTTGTGAGTAAGATGAACTCTATTTTGGACATATCAGGATTAAAGAATTTGGAAACCATCCAGATAAGTAAGTTCCATAACTAGAAATAAATACAGCTTTGTGGTTTGGGAAGACTTGAGAAAAAATATTTGTTGATAGCAGAAGTCACTACAGTGAACAAGACAATCTCGGGAAGACATACAAAACAAGAAAAGGGTTTCAGAGACAAAGTACTAGAGGCCACTGCATTTAAAAGACCATCAAATAATTGTCAGATAATTGTCAAAACAGTGACAAACTCTAGCAGTGTGCAAAGTCCACCAGATGAAGAATTAAAATAGGACTTTGGGTTTGTTTTTAGGAAAACACTGATCACATTAGCAAGAAGATTTTCAGTTAATTGATAGGTGGGTGAATGTATCAGCAAAGAGAGTGGAGACTATAAATCTAGGCTGTTTTTCAAGAAGTTTGGTGAAGAATAGAATAAAGCTTAAAGGAAAAAAAAATCTCATGAAACCTGACTAATTTTACCTTTAACATCCCCAGAATCCTACCGTTCCTCATTGTTTTTATTGTTAGCACCCTGGATGGAACTACCATAATGTATTACTCATATTACATTAATATCTTCTAACTCCTGAAAGCATTTCAGAGAGTTTTTTTTTTTTTTTTTTTTAACGAAATTCAAGTCATGTTTTTCCTCTGGTTAAAACCCACTCGATTTCTCTCAGTATAGAGGACAAGATCCCTTCTCATTCCTAAAAATTCTGGGTAATCAGCCAACACATTTCCTTTCAGACAAGCTCAAGCTCACTCAGGACTCTCCCCCTGACTCACTGTTCTCCGGTCCCCTTCACAGGCCTTCCCCTCAAATTTCATGTGAGCTCCCAGGATGCTTCTTGGCCTCTGTCAATTTTTTGCTCAAGTGTTACCTTCTCAATAAGGGCCTCCCAAAAAATCCTATTTAAAATTTCATTTTTGAGTCCTTTAACTCTGATTTATCATCTTCTAGCATAAATTTGCTTATTTATTATGTTTACTACTTGAATTTACTCTACCTTTAGAATATGGGCTCCACAAAAATAAGAAATATTGTCTGTTTTGTTTATTGATGTGTCCCAATCTTATTACATTATGGCTTCACATAGTTGCTTTTCAAGGAGTATTTAATGAATTGGTAAATAAATGAGAGCAGGGGTGTGGAATGCAGTGTCTAACATATTCAGTGTTATGAATTGACATTGCTCTTCTTGGGGGAAGATCCCATGTCTTACTCATTTGTTAACTCTATCAAATTGCATAGTTACTTAAAACTCAGTTTGTAATCAATAAATATCAGTTCCTTCAGACAGGAGCTGTAATTTTTTATTTTCATATCCCCCACCCATAACATCATACCTGGGAAGAAGCAAGACCATTAGTCAAATGTCTGAATAAATAAATTACTATTTTGCAATTAAATTTTGTTCTTGCCCAAGGACATTGACATAAAATAAATCCTGAAATGGAGTGGGTTTGAGTGTGTGGTATCGTCTGCTCCTAGTCCCATGCTGGAATTTGATGGTGATAGACCTCATTTCAACAGAATGCTTTTAACTGATTTGGGTGTGTATTGAGCTACTAACAACAACAAAAATACCCAATGCCTGATGGCGTCTATTTCATCAGAGTCACTATTAATCCAGACTCATAGAAAACTAAAACTGAAGGAAAATAAATACACAGCGTCATGGAAATTTCAGTTCTGGACCAAAGGAGAGAAAAAATGTAAAACTTTCAGCTCTTTAGAGCTAACTACAGTTACCCTGGAACAACGCAGGTCTTAGAGGCATTGACGGCCCCTCCACTTTCCCACACAGTTGAAAATACACATATAATTTCTGACTCCCCCAAAACTTTACATATAGCCTACTGTTAACTGGAAGCCTTATGGATACTATAAAGTCAATTAACATGTATTATAT